CTATCTATCTATCTATCTATCTATCTATCTATCTATCTATCTATCTATCTATCTATCTATCTATCTATCTATCTATCTATCTATCTATCTATTCATTTTTCAACGTAGTAAATGATGGGTTTCTTACATCAATGATGCTAGTTTAAATTTCTATTTTACCTTAGTTAAACTGTCAGTATTTATCATATATATGCTATATATTACAGTGGTTTCAATAAAATTATTTCAAAGTTGGACTCGTATTTTCCCTGAATAGTCACTGATGCAGCGGAACAGAAGATATAATATTGAATCGAAGTCAATATTTATTATCCCCTGTAAGCTGTTGGGTAATTTGTAAAGGATGAATGCTCTGCAGAAATCCACAGCATATTATGAAAAAGGGTACCATCTACAGTCCATCCATCAGTTCCTTCCTTCACCCACACCGGCGTACACTACACCAGCGTACGCTGCACGGAGCCTGCGAAGGCATGTGACTGAGTAAGGACATGAGATAAAATTATGTTAACTTAGCGCTGAGTAGTTTAAATTCTCCCAGCGCCCACCTCACAACCCTGGACGGTCGTTATTCATCTTTGTCCCTGCGTAGGTACAGACCCTGCAGAGACAAGCTGCGCGCAAAAAAAAAAAAAAACGACCTGGACAGCGATGGATAAACGTCCCAGTACAGACTCCCGCAGCAAGACGAGGCTACTACGGTTTCTTACCCCCTGTTCGAAGAGAGCCCGCAGTGTTATGATCATTGTTGAGGAGCAGCCCCACAGCAGCAAGCTCCTGCCCACTGGCGTGGCCGAGATCGTCCGTTCTACCCGGGCTTCTCTGTAGCGCACCAACACCGGGGATCCACCGCACCTTTGGGCGTCAGACGGATTAGTTAAATCGGTGTAGCTGATCTCACCCCACCGGCTATTGGTGGCTCTGACCCGTCGTTGTCAAACCGCGGGGCTAATCCAATCAAGTGTTTAAAGACGAGACGCCAAGAATAGCGCCAATTACAGTAAAAAGTTTCAGATCTTCAGCGTGGTGAGTGTGGTAATAGTGCAAATGAATGGGGCACCATGTATAGTTAATGTCATTGATGAATTGCCTGCCAGAACCGAGCAGCCTTCAAAGCGAGGACATCAAAACAACAATGCGATGATCACGAGGATTACTTTGAATCCCTGGGAGTATTGAAGATAATACTAAGGATCAGACCGCTGACACAGGTTACATATGGTACCAGGTAACGCTCTTTATCAATTCATTTTACACTGCTGTTTGCCACATGTGTGATACTGGTGTCTTCATATTTTAATTACATTTTATTGATTGCAGATTTGAGAAGATATCTAATCTGCTTTAGGCACAAACCCCAGAGATACAGCCACAAGACTGTAAAGAGAACGAACTATAAAATGTGTAGCTGTGATGTTGAGGCCTGTAAGGACAAAAATGGTCTGGGTGAAAATGGTTGTATGTTATAGACTGCTTATGCTGTAATCACAACAAACAATCACTCACCATGATAGCTTTACGCCCACTGTATCATACTTTCGATTCACATTACTGGAAGGTAGGGTTTATTCTCACCTTGTAGCCAGAAAGAAGGTTGCATGAGACCTAGATTCTTGAAGAAGCGTGATGTCCTAAATTCCCCAGAATATATCACAGCATTTGGATGTGAATCTACATCAAGTGTCTGTCTGCTTCATGATTAAGTAAGAATGTTTTACTAACAGTGTAGGAAGGCTAGTCATCTAGTGGTTCATTAAATCATAGTATGTTCCGTATCTTAGTCCAAACATAATGTATGAAGGACAAAACACTGTGTTTGCACGCTCCAATTATAATGAATTTAAATGAATGTCTATATGTTCTACAATTATAATGTAATTATCATTGTCTGCACGGGAATATAGATGTTCTAATAGAAACTGAAAGTTTGATGTTGATGGGGAGTTCACATACTTGACCTAGACCATCAGCAGATCCATGTTGTTGTATGTACAGCATGATTCCCTTACAGTTTCCTCACAAATTTAGTAACACATAAAACTATTGTTGCTATAACTACCATCCAATAACCAGGTTTTTCTTCAGGCTCCAGTAGCAGTGTGCCTCTTTACAAAAGTTGCTCCAATAGCTCTACAGAAGCACAGTTGCTGAACTTTTACTGAAGACTAGATCGGTGGGGGTACAGACAAATTTCATACTTTTAAGGTTCATTCAAAGCATCCTTCTGTAATCTGCAGCAGGATGATTCTATGATCTCATCAATGTAATTTTACAGTTGTATCATTTTAGATTTTAAACCTCATAGCCTTACAATTTGATTAGAGTATTTGTTTTTTGCTACCGAATTTAATCTTGTAAGCCAAGGATAAGTTCAGTTTAAGAGGGAGATTTAATCAGGTCTAAAGTAATTAGGTTGGTTTGTATCTGTAGAAACAAGCCTATTATATTACTGCTTTGAAAGATTTAGACTAACTTAGAGTCACAATAAAACCAATCGATCTGGTAGAATAAGAGGCCGGGTGATCAGGTTATACTGGACTTAATCATTCACCAATAACAACCAGATTCTGCCATTGGCCACTGAGAAAACTCAGTTTAACCTTTAGCTTTGGGAAAATCAACATGCCTGTTTTACTCACAGTGTTATTCCTCATGTTTTCATAGAAAGCATGTAAGACCGTTTATCCATTTGAGACCACCCATAAGCGTCATTACTTGTTTTTATCACAGTCGTCCCAAACAATGGCAAGTTTAGGTCCAGTCCAACTGGATGTTCATCTCATCTATATAAAATAGTGAACTGCTCAAAGTAAGAAAAATACGTCTATATGCAGCACTCAAAGTGCTGTATATAGATGTGGTAACTGCATAGTATGTAACAAACTAACTTGGGATAATGACACACTTGCTTTGGTGCAAGAATGAAAGCTTCCTCAGGACTGCCCCCAGGTCAGAGAAAAGCCAATTAGAAGATGGGAGTGGCAGAGAAAGTGACAGGCAGTAAGATCAAAGCACTAAAGTAGTCTGAATCAGTGAAAAGGATTTTTGTGTTTATGAAATGTCCCAGAATCTCTTACAACTCTCCCTCTAAAGTCAAAAATATTGAGGGAAATATATAATAAGTCTGGCACAAAGAATAACAACTAAGTGTCATGTGTGCATGTCTTACTTTCACATACAGCCTCTTGTACATACCTGATTTGCATGTAAAGCAAGGAAAATTAACCCTCTCTTTAGAATATTACTATCAAAAATGCCTCTAATGAGTCGCAATTTGCATATGTAACGGTGTGTATTATGCATATGTTCTCCGTGTGCATTCCCCCTCAGGTGCATACGTGGAGTGTGTGCAGAATGAGCAGCACGTTTGTTACATTAGCTGAAGTACTGGAGGCACGAGGGGGACCTCTGCTGGAGGAGGAGGTCTGGTCCTTGCTGCTGGGCACTGCAGAGTCTTTAGTGGATGTCTCTTATAAGGGTAAAGCATTTAGGACCCTCCCCACCTCACTCCCTGTTATTTTAGCCTCACATACATCATGCCTTATAACGCCACGACCATACTATCATGTTGCGCCAGTGGAAAATCTATGAAACCATTTAAACATATCGTGCATTCTTGCTTCCCTCAGTGGGACTTTAGTGTAAAACTACAGTAAAGCCGATAGTACATAAATGTTTCCTTTTTTTCAGGTCAAAACAATATGTGCAGTATCATAAGCCCCACCTCCTTGCTGCTGTCAGCCACTGGTACCTTAGCATTTAAGAACTGTGGCCTATCAGATGAGGTTTCCACATTCGCCGCTCCGGAGATGCTGCAGGGCCGTGCCAGCTCAACCAAACCTGCCACAGAGAGGGTCAGTGCGCGTGTTTTCGTACCCGTATCTCACGTGAAAGTGGAAGGCAGATTTCTCAAATAGTGCAGAGTACTAGAGCCTGTAGCTTTACAGCTTATTAGCAACTTTAAACTCTGCAGTAACTTCGCGACGTTAAGAATCAATCCAGACATAAACTGATGTGTCTCTTTCATTGAGTGGAAAATCTTAGGATGTCTGGAGCTGAAGGTCGAATAAGGTGTAAGTGCGCCATCTAGTGGCTGAAGAAAGAGAATCATGACCTGAAATCTGCACTTGTGAGCCTTACGTGTGTACATTGTCCAAAAAAGTAACTATTAAAAACAAATTATAATGTGAAAATGATCATACATTTATATAACAATACTTCGTATTTGAAAAACTACTATATAGAATTCATGTTCAAGAAATATGCCTTAAAACTCCAAAAAAGAAAGCACAATGTGTTGTTGCCTGCTCCCTTTTGCTTCAGTAATCTGCATTTCTATTTTATACATCCAGTATATGGCATGCCCCCGATTTAATCAATCATGCTTGAAATAGATTTATTTTTATTGTTTTAAAGATTCTCTGTGCAAACCAGCTCACGTTGATCTACTGTATCTATCTTGTTCTTACTCTTACTTGCTTCTTACTGGAAAAACTTCACTCTCATTCATATATAAGTATCGTCACTATTATAACACATTATGAAGGAATGCAAAAGTAAACCTGGTTTTATCTGTTGCATAGATGCTGGTGTATTCACTGGGTATGACACTCTACTGGTCAGTTGATTTTCACCTACCTCAAAATCAGGTAGTAGCCCCTTATATAAAATCATCAGTTATTTTCTCATTAACCATCACAACTCAGCTGTTGTAATTATTATTTAAATTCTCACTTTCAGCCGGTTCAGTTGAGTGACCATCTAAACAGCCTCCTCCTCAGCATGTGTGAGGACCTGTCTCACCGCCGGGTAAACCTCAACTCCATCCTGGAAGCCTGCGAATCCCAGCTCAAAGCCTCCATCCTGCTGCCCCCCGCCAAAGTCATCAGGCAGCTGGTGGAGGAGGTTTTTCATGAATCAGTGAGTCGGAAAAAAAAGACTTTCTACACTAAGGTCATGTCTGATGATATTTTATGTTCTCATCAGCCTATTCTGTGTGTGAAATTAATGCCATACTGTGCACTAATGAAAAAAAAATGAAAGTGTCTGTGAATAGCAGGGGTTCTTTTTCCTCCAGATGGACCAGACATCTCTGCCAGACAGCAATGTCCCTCTGAGCGGCAGAAGTCTGATGATCAGAGAAAGACTTCATGGTGAGCGTGATACAGTTGAGATAAATGTTTGATTTAAACTAGGTCCATACAACACACACATAAAAAGCTGAGTCATTTCATTTAATTTCTAAATAATCCTAATGCGTCCTAAATAAATTTGACCTTTAAGAGGTGTCATCTACATATTTCCTGGACGTAGCTGCAGTCACTGTTGGTTTGACTCAAGACTGAACACCGGACAACAGGATTAAAATCTTAACCTAAAGCAAGCCCAGGATTAGGATCCTGCGAGAGCCAGTAATCAGATACTGAGCGAGATGCTCCAAGCTAAAACCTCCTGCAGGTCTGTCCAAACATCTTAGTGTCCTCAGGGCAGCAGAGAGAAAGAACCAGATTAAACATTGCTGTTATCTTTCATTTCTTACCTGGATGACAGGAAAGAGAGGGCCATTTTCAGATTTCAGCGAAGGAAGTGCTGAAGGTAGAAGATATTCAACGGACTCTGACTCAAAGTCAGGTATGCGTTTCGTTTGGCTGAAACCAAATCCTGAACAGAAGTCACAGGATGTCTTTCAAAGAAGTTTGTTTCATGTCAAAATGCATCACTTTAGTGTCTGGATGTAATCCCTGAATTATGCATGCTTTTATGTTTTGTATCTATTTTTGTTTAATGCATTTTACAGTCAGAACATATATATGTGTACTATTTAAAAAACAACAACATTTTTAATATGTTTTATAGGGAGTTTACCTCAAAGACCATGGAGACAAAGACCGAGAAGCTCTCCCACATCGTTGTACCAATCTTCTTTAGAAAGGCATGTATATATGCATGCATATATACACACCATCACTAAATCACCAAGAGTGTAGAAGGATGCTATCTGTGCATTCATGTCAGCACAGATAAATCTTTCCGCTCCTCATTTCCCCCGTCCTTATTGTCTGTACTGACTTTGAGGGGATCTGACATTTTGTTTGACTTTTCCAACTCGCCTGCACAACTATTACACAATCTGTCCTTCCCCACCCACCTCTCTCCCTTCAGAATCCCTCGTGGGGTTCGTCACAGGGACAGCAACTGCAGTTGGCTCGGTAGGAGTCCCCATCACGACATCTCTCCGAAGACATCAGGCAGATCTCACAGTCCTTCCATCACATTCAGCGACTCCTCGCTTAGTCTGAGCCAGAGAAAATCTAAGGTAAGCTCAGAAACGAACTTGAATGTATCAGTGACATAAGTCAAGTGAAATGTTTTTGCAGGGCACGGAGTAAACGTGCATGCTGTGGATCTGTGTGCATGTAGCTGTATTAGAATGACAGTGAACTGTAGAGTAGTCAGTGCAAGTGAACTAAAATCTCTGTATACAGTTGATCATTTAGTGAGGAATGACAACCTGTCAGATGTATTCCAGCTAATAATATATACATATTATTTTTTTTTTTGTTTAATTAATTTTATTTTCCAGGCATTGGGTCCCGAGTTCGTCAGAATGCCAGATGAGCAACAAATTGTTCTTGAGCTTCCAGGATCTATTGTGGTAAATGAATAATCTCGGCTCACTTGCCCATAAGCAATTTCGGTTTACACTTCTGTTTGCTCCTATTCTTTTAGCTTTTCCTTTCTCGCATGCTGAACTGTGTCTATTTGCATAATTGCATGTATAGTATTTGTATATGTATGTACATGTACGTGTGTGTCTGTGTGTTTTGTGTGTACACGCCACAGTCCAGAAAGGGCCGTTCATGTTCGTCTCAGAGAGAAGTGACTGTTGTGATGCCTAATGGACAGTACGTGGTGGTTCGCTGTGATATTAAGTCCAGAGCAAGAGATGTGTTTGACATGGTGGTCGCGCACGCAAACTTGGTGGAACACTTTTACTTTGGTCTTGCCTTCCTAGATGGTAAGAGCCCATAATAAATAGGACCTGATCTATTTTGAGTGCACTGGTTGTGAGAAAGGATTGACAGTAAAAAAAATATTTGAATATGTAATTTATCTGAATACCTTTCCAGAAAAAACTGAAATGACTTTGAATCTGTCTTTCCGCAACTGGATGTTTTAGTCACTTATTTTCTCATTAACCATCACAACTCAGCTGTTGTAATTGTAATGTGGCTAAAGAAGCTTTTCTTTGGCATTCTGCAGATGATGAATATTTCTTTTTGGAACATGAAACAAAAATCTCCAAAGTTGCCCCTGACAGTTGGAAAAAAGGGCAGATATCATCTTTTTTGGTGTTTCTTCGAGTCAAATTTTTTGTTGATGATATCTCCTTCATTCTGTAAGTGCTGCAGCGGTTTCACGATTAACTCATATGCAGGAAGCTCATTTTCAGAAATGTATTTAGTTAAACCCACTGTTGCCTTTTTGCTTCTTTTTTTGTTCCTCCTTCCTAGGCACAAACTGACTCGTCACCAGTACTACTTACAGCTGCGTAAGGATATCTTGGAGGACAGGCTTTACTGTAATGAGGAGACAGGCTTATTCCTGGCTGCTCTTGCGCTGCAGGCTGAGTTTGGTGATTACATGTCAGAGGTACAGAGGATATAACAATCATGTTTGCAGCATGTCTTTAAGGAGCAGCATTATCTGTCAGTGTGTATCCTCATCCTTTTTGTGTCTCTTTTTTAGTTATATGGCAAGAACTATTACCAACCAGAGCACTATGTGTCCAAGAGGATGCTTGAGAAGCTTGCCCTGCCCAGCGTCAAGGAAGAGTTGCCAAGACTACATGCAAGTCATGCACAGATGCTGCCAGAAGAGGCAGAAATGGAGTACCTAAAGGTAACCACACTAATAATGCATTTATTCCCACACATGTACACAGACTCGTTTAAAAAGTAGCTTATATTGTCCTTTAGTTACTGTATGTATGCTATAGTCATAAGTCTCGGTGAACTTTTTTATTACTACTACTATTTTTTTTAATTTGACAGTTTTACTGTCCTGCTTAGTTTATAAATACATGTATATATGAGAGTTAGGATCAAGAGCTAAACTCCCAGATTTTGAGTCCCACAAAATCTGAAAACCATGTGCACATCAGATTGCACAGCAGCTACCAGAGTATGGAGTTATGTTCCACCGTGTGGGGCGAGAGAAAAGGTCGGTGGTTGGAGAGTTGGTCTTGGGAGTCTGTGCCAAAGGAATCATCGTGTACGAGATGAAGAACCACGTCCGGACTGTTACCAGACGCTTCCTCTGGAGGGAAACTGACTCCATATCCACTGGGGTAAAAAAATATGGCCTTTCAGTCAGACTTTGCTAAGCTGTGTAAGACATTACTTTGCAGAGGTAGTATTGCTATGAAGCTCAGAGGAACTAAATAATGATTTATGTCTTTCAGCGGCGTAAACTGATTATAGAGTGTGGTGGCCCCAGTGGGAAAAAGCATGGTTTTGTAACGGAAAGCTCAAAAATAGCACAATACCTCCTGAACCTTTGCTCAGCACAGCACAAGTTTCACAGCGAGATGACGTCACGACAGCTAAACCACACCTTAATCCCAGGTGGGAATATTTTGATTGTTTAAAATTTAAACTGCACAAAAAAAAGAGAAATCAGACTAAGAGCTCTTCTCTGTCCAGCCTGATCCCAATTAAGACTTTAAAATGTGTTTGTTTTTTCTTCTCTCACTGGATAGGATAACTTGTCTTAGATTGATTGATTGTTTTCTCATTTCTTCTGGAGATGGGATTGGTAGGAAAAACTGATCATATTTATTCCTAAATGGAGAAAGAAATGAGTACTGTGAGCAAAAAATATTGTTTCAGGGTTTAGCAGTGCTAATATTAAAAAAAAGGTTTTAACCAAGCATAACAAAGAGCAAGCAGCACCTGATTCTACTTTGTTTCTCCAGATGAAAACATGGAAAAGTACATATCCGCCTACAGGGGTCGTAACCTGAACTTAAGGCGGATATCCTGCTCAGAGGGCATGTTGAACCATGTAGGATTGGCGCCCGGTCAACCAGACTCCCTGTCCAAGTCCTGTGACGACCTGACTGCCAAATTGGAGGCTCGGCTCCGCCAACAGAGAGAGATGAGGAGAGAGATGAGTAGAGAGCTGAACAAGGATCTGCCCGAAACGGGAGACCTCAGGGATGTAAAAGAGCGACAGTGTTGGAGGTAGCCCTTAATAATGATTACGAGTTTCATGTTATTATCGCAAAAATATAGGTGGATTTAGCTAAATGTTACCGTGAACATATGTTGTAGTACGCCAGAGCTTCTTCCCAGGATGATGTCCAGTATGTCACTACAGAAGCAGGACTCTGATGCCTCATCCTCTATTCGAGGTGAGCTGACAAATAAAATAGAAATACAACAAGTCTTTGAGTAACACACTAAATCAGCATGGAGCACCTGACATCTGTTTGGTAGCCTCTAAGTCATATTAGGTTTTTGAAATTTGATGGTCACAGAGTTAAAGTAGAGTGACAGTCTGGTTGTCTGGCTGACATTGTCCCCTCACAACAATAGTTCTTCTTCTTTTCAGTAGGGGCTCTCCTATGTGGAGTCCACATGTTTTCTTCATGTGTTTAGATCTAATTCCAGATATGTTAATTTGAACATTTCTAAAGTGCGTACAAGTCTTAATGTTTTGGTCTGTTTATGACCTAAACTCACACCAGTGCACAATAACGAGGCAAACAAAGTATATAAATAGTTTACTGCTGCCTGTTTATCATATTAAAAACATACGTTTTGCAGTTGATACACCAACCCGGACCCCACCAGAGAGAGAGATAGTCTGCGTGACCCTGAAGAAAGATCCCAAACTGGGATTTGGTGAGTTTATTAGCTCAGATTTAGCTGAGAGAGATAAAATTCCTGGTATAACAACAACAGCAACAACAAGTGATTCTTTAGTAAAAGTCTTCATATTCTCTGCTCCTGTTTCAGGCTTTGTGATAGTGGGAGAGGACAATACAGGCAAACTTGACCTTGGGATCTTCATTGCTTCCATTGTGCCTGATGGCCCTGCAGAGAAAGATGGACGAATTAAACCAGGTGCAAAGTTCAAACGATGCAGATTAAAAATATAGATATGGGATGAAAATGTATAATAAAACATCTAGAGCAAGATACACAATTAGATTGGACGTGACCTGTCATAAGGACTTGAAGGTGATTTGCTGATTTTTCCAGGTGGACGTCTCATCTCACTAAATAAGACTAGTTTGGAAGGAGTGACATTCAGTGATGCTGCTGCCATCTTACAGAGCAGCCCCGATGAGGTGGAGCTCATTGTGTCCCAGCCTAAGCGTAAGATCGGCCCACTGCTTTCTCCGTCCATCCTTCAAATATTTATAAATTATTATCAGATCATACTGTGCAGAATAGTAGTTATTTCGTGGTTTTAATGCCTCCTGGTTGTTTTCCTCTCAGAGTCACTGAAGGACAGACAAAGTTCTTTGAGTCAGAGTACTCTTGGATTAGCGTTGGAGAGGAACTTTGGGTCACAGACTACCCTGAGTAGCACAGAGTACCGTCCCGGAGTGGAGGAACTCGAGGAGGTCATCACATTGTCCAGCATGGCAACTCCAAAACACAACAGGAAGCTTCACATTCCTGTGGTGCGAATACACGATGCCCAGGTTAGAACCAGTGCTCAGAAGACAGTGATTAGAGACGATTCACCTTAGTGTTTTTAAAAGAAGCAGTGCTGTCAAAGCTGATATTAGAGTCCAATGCCAACTGATAAACAGATTAAGTGCTCACATTAATTGGATAAAACTAAGAGATGTCGTCATTCACGGGATTCAGAAGTGTCCCAAAGATATGCCCTCATTCATTCCTTTCTTTTTTAGGAACACTTTAACGATCTATTTATTTTCAGTTCAGTACAGATGTTAAATTATTTCAAAGTCATTATAACTGCAACATTTACACTGTTACCTATAATATTATAGGCTGCAGACACTTATTTTAAACTTGCATACATTTACAGAATTGTTTTGAATAACTGCCACATTTTGCAAAACTCTCAAGTAACAAGTACGAACACTCTAAATCAAAATGTTTTTTAATTTCACATTTTACTTGCAGAAATAACCTCTAAACATTACAATACATTTTCATGTTACTGTATGTAATTTTTCATGAAATCATTTCTTGTAATCTAACATTAATCCTCTGTTCTGCGTCTTTTTCAGGACGTTTACTCTCGGTCGCCCTCTATCTTGAGCCTTAAAACAGGCGAGCGGTTTGTAGTGGAGCTGAAGAAAAGCAGTGGAAGCCTTGGCATCAGTGTTGCTGTGAGTGAAATGTTTTAATGAAGAGTGCTTTCCTCATTTTCTCTAGTTGTAAAAGAAAGTAGAGTTTGGTTTCTTTACGGAATCATTTTTGAAGAAAAATCATTTTGGATAAAGAAGCTGTAAAAATACAATATGTTCTTGATATGATGTCAAATACTTTATCTTGACTAACTGAATTTGAATTGATATGAATCATATAAACTTTGTAAGATCACTGCTTTACTGTCAGCCAAATGAATTTCCTCTTTTTTTCTGTCTTGCCGAAGGGAGGAATTAACACTAATGTGCATGATGGAGGCATTTACATCAAGAGTCTGGTGCCTGGAGGTGCTGCTGAGCAGGATGGTCGCATTCAAATTGGTAATCTTTTAATTTGGAAGTAGAAGATATTATCAGGTGTTGAAAAAGGTAAAGGGTTATAAAAAAATAAATGATTAAAATGTGCAGGATCCGTATCAAACTTCTAAATTCTGGATAAATTCTAAGTTTATCAGTTGTTACATTGTAATTATATCCTTAATAACAGTCCCCCTAACATCATCATCATCATCGCAGCATTATAAAGTATGAATCTGACACAAAAGTTCTTAAGCTTCCATATGCAGCATATTACATAAGTGATTGTGTATTGAACAGTAAGATAATAAAAGTCTAAACCCCAAAGATCATAAAAATGTATTTGAGAAATTATATTATAAAACCTTTGCTGTTGCTGTTATTTACATTTTGTAAACCTCTGTGCTGTGACTTGTTTCGTGCCTCAGTGAGCAGGAGAGACTTTAAAGTTTGGTGATATGTCATCACACATATACACACACACACACACACACACACACATCGCAAACCGTTTCGGTTCTGATGCTGTTAATGATGATGAGGTTTGTGTTTGTGCGTATGACAGGTGACAGACTGCTGGAGGTTGACAGGTCCAACCTGAGGGGCGTGACTCACCATCAAGCTGTCGAGTTCCTGAAGAGGACTGGGGAGGTATACATACACGGGCATGAACACTTGCTCATGCAATGAAATGCAATCACACACACAAATGTTCTTGTTTGCTGATATGATTACATTAATATCAGTGCTAAGTGACTGTCCTTCACAGAGGTTACGTATTTCTTCATCTCTTTAAATCCATGTTTTCGTGATCCATGATGATAATCCTTCCCTAATGAGTCTGTTTTAGTTAAATTAACTTAAATATAAAACCATAAAAGTTAACATAATGACAAAAGCACTAAAGTCCAAACTATTGAATTCACTATTACAAGGACTTGACCTGACTCTTTAGACCTTTCCACTGTAACCTTTTTTAAGGAAGCGTTATTCACAGTGAAAAAATGTCAGGAACCAGTGCTGCTACACATTATTCTCTGTTCCCGCTGTGACGCTATTTGTTCAATTAAATTTATCAAGCATATTAAGGGGGAGTATGTGCGTCATCTGCTCCCTATAGGTGGTGAGCCTGCTGCTCGAGAGGGAGCCCACAGTAATTCTGGAGCCTAGACCTGACTCGCCCTGCCCTACCTTGGTCCACAGTGCATCACACACACAGCCCCTCAGGACTGAAGTCTCCATGGAAACGACCTTGAGTGGTCGAGCCAAGGACTACAGCTTTGTAACGGATGGTGAGAGGGGAGACGAAGGGGCATTTACCCTCGTAATAAAAAAGAAAAGATAGACAGTGTCAGGGACACACACTCATGCACACATGGCCCAGAGGTGACTGTGAGTCATCTGACAGCTACATTGTGGTTGCTGTCAGAGTCATCTAGGGCTGATGCCGCCTCAGTCCCTTGGGATTGCATCCACTGAAACCTTAAAGCTTCCTGTTCGCTGGCACGTAGCCTTCCCTTCTTTACTGGTAATAGTAGGAAAAAAAGTCAAATAAATTGGGAAAAATGTATTACCAAATAATAATAACAGAAAAGAAATATACATGCATTTGTGACACTGAATTGAAAAATGTTCTTAGCACGTTGCTAAAGATCATAATTCACATGTTAATGCTCAAGTGTTTCCTTTCATCTCGTTCCTAGAAAACACACGTGAGGTGGTGCTGAGGAAGAGCTTGTCTGGCCTCGGCTTCAGCTTTTATATCTCCCAGCTGCACTCAGGACCAGACCGCAGCAGCGTGGTCCGCATCAAACGTCTGTTCCCAGGTCAGCCAGCGCAGGAAAGTGGCCTGCTGCGGGAAGGAGACATCATCCTGACTGTCAACAAAGAGCCTCTCAAGAATCTTCCCTATCAGGTAGAATTTATATGTTTATATCAGATAGTATATTTTTTGTTTAGTTTGTTTTTTATTTCTTATATTTATAAGAGGACAAGAGAATGTGCGTGGACAATTGGACCATAAGAAGCTAAAAAGCAAAATAAACCTGTTTGCAAAATAGCCAATGTAGCCTTAAAACTGTGTAAACCTGTGGAAGCACAATGGATAATCATGAATGGACTGCCGAGTGTATAAGTAACACAAGCGACCTTGTTCTCTCTCAAGTCTCATTCACTTCATTGTTTCACTAATCCTTTAATCTTGTACCACTTGAAATAGAAAGCAGTTTGTGTCATTGTGCTTGTGTCATTTAATCTTCTCTGTACTGCCAAGAAGTTACAATGGTATTAGCAGCGTTGCTTTTACACATGTGTTGGTCAGATAGCTGTGCACATTTTAAGTCTGTCTCATTTTTTAACCAATTCAAAGTTTCTTTTCTGTTTGTCTCAGAGGGTTTTGCTTTTGCTACGTGGTGCTCCTTCTGAGGTTCATCTGCTGATCTGCCGACCTGGACCAGGAGCACTGAATGATGGAGATAATAACTCACTGGTGAGCTAATATACTCATGAATCACTGTAAATTCAGTCCCAAGGCAGACATTTTTAGACAAACCATTGTACTTTCTGTCTGACTCTACAGACTCTTACATCCCTCCGTGATGCTCGATCGCGGTCTCTGGACATCAGGTTGGGGGAGGACTACAGCGAGCTCCTCAAAAAGCCCTCCAACCAGGAGGAGGAGCCGACCAGCAAAACAGAGAAAAACTCAGAACTTCCTGCAGCTTCACAACTCCCAGAGAGCCAGGAGGAGCTCAAGGCAGAAGTGCAGACACAACAGACTCCACCATCTTCCCCTCGCTCACCTCCTTCACCAACATCACCTACATCTCCTCCTTCACCGGTCTCGCCAGCATCACCTGCCTCACCTACCTCGCCTGGCTCTGGGTCTCCACCTGCTCCAACAGAGGCCCAACTAGCTGCTGGGAAGCTCGAGCAACAAAAGGAAGCAGAAGCAGAAAAGAAGAGCAAAGATGTGGAGGAGGAGGACGCAACAACCTCAAGCTCTACTGTGATGCTTATTGATGTCTGTCCTAAGACTGGCTCCAACTCTGTGTATACCAGGTAATGTTTCAGATGCCAGCTGTCATGTGTTGATGTGCATGTTGTGTGGTTATTTTCAAAACTCGTGCAGATGTCTTTTATCAGGACAGAGTTTTATTGTTAGGATGAACATGAACATTTGGCTTAATTGTAAGTAGACCACAAAATAAATGTTTTTTTTAATCGGCAGTGGAGTCAGAGAGGAGGCAGATGGAAGTGTCACCTATTGCCTCATGGGAAATGGACTCACTATCATGGCAGATGAAGAGTACCTGACCATCAGCTCCACACTGGAGCCTCCTCACATGCTTCCCACTGCTAGCACTCAAACAGCCAACTTTAGCTCTCAAACATCAAGTAGCTTGCAGTATCCACACCCCAACCCCACCACCTTGGCCCTCAACCTCTTATCTGACACCCCCACCACTTGTTCCCTGGCACATCCCTCCCAGCCACTCACAACACAGCCCCCTAAAACCAAGCACCACCCAATCCAGCAGGGGCTTCTTCCAAGTCACTACAAAGCCATGTCCAAGATCAGCCGCCCCATGGTGCCCCCGCCTCAACCTCCACCACTGACCCCTATCACAGCTCAGATTATCTCTGTGGCTCCCTGTCCTAGTCCACCTCCCCCAGTGCTGCCCCCCACACTGCTGCCCCCGGCTGCTCCGATCCAATTTAGAGAAGAACCAGAAAAGAAAGAAAAGGAATACAAAGATTACGATGATGACGAATATGATGAGGAAGAGGAAGAGAGTCGAAGAAAGGCAAGTCGATGATGTTCTATTTTTATGCCACTGCTTATATTTAGCTGTGTTTTCATCAATATTAGTTTTCCTGCTAGTTTTCCATTAAGTTTTTTGAAGAGAACCATCGCTGGACTTTTGGGAGATTAATGTTTTCCCATTCTTGTCTAATAGCTAGCTGCTCAACAGTCCAGAGTCTTATTTTGTATTTTTATGTCTTATGTTGTTCATTTTTTCAACTGGTGAAAGGTCAGGCCGGTTCGGCGCCTCGGTTCTTCTACTGTTATAATAGCTGCAGTATGGCGTTTAGCATCGTCTTGCTGAAATATGCAGGGTCTTCCCTAATAAAGAGGTGTTCTGGATGGGATCGTAAGTTGCTCTAAAATCTGTATATACCTTTCAGCATTGATGGTGCCTTTCCAGATATGCAAGGTGCCAGTTCCATAGGCACTAATGTAACCCCCAAACCAACGGAGATGCAGGCTTTTGAACTCAGTGCCGATAACAAGCTGTATGGTCCCTCATAGGACACCCAGAGGAGATGGTGGTGTTTCTGTATCATGTTCATATACGTAAGCTTGAACTTACATTCTGGATTCACAGAGGATGATTTCTGGAAGCGTTCCTGAGCCTATGGAGCAGGCTGCATTAAAAACAGGAATGACAGTCAGCCCTGTTTTTAATGCAGTGCTACTCTATACTATGAAGACAGTTTGACATACCCCGGGTATCTTTCCATTCTGGATTCACTAACATTGGCAATCAGGATAAGCAGTTACAGCACGCTGTTTATCAACTGACTAAGTTAACCCAGGGTTTCCCCTCTATGTTAAAATCAAAGGGCTGGTGTTGGCAGCATCTGACCAACCTAAAAGGCATGGATCATATGATTCTTCTTCCAAAGAAAAAGATCCCTGTGAGTGCCACCTACTCATTATCAGAAGAAATTGTGATAAAAATCTCCAAAAAACATTAAAATATAAAAAGCGTCGCCACAGATTCTCTGAACCTCTGCATCTCTAAGATTATCTTTATATACTCTTTATATACATGTTACTAACCTGGTGCTAATGAACCTTATTAGTGTCAAATGTTCCTCCAGGTGTTTCTTTTTAGGACTACTGACTTTTGAAGCTTTTTATATCCCCCACACAAACTTTTGCCACTGCCATCAAATTTAAAAATTTCTCGTTTTTTTCTTAAAATCATGACCTTCTAATTTCTATTCTCACAGGGATTGGTTAAAGAATTTGAGCTGTCAGTGGTTCTGACTAAGTCCAGAAGTGGAAGCTTTGGGTTCACCATCACTCGAAGCAAACTAGACAACTGCTACTACATACAGGAAATATTGGACAATCCAGCCAAGGCAGATGGACGACTCAGGGCAGGAGACAGGCTCGTCACAGTATGCACCAAAACTTGCGCCTGCACATTTAAAGTAATCATTAAGCGTGTCCTGTTGATATGACAACTGTTCTTTGTCTGTCATCTTTTACCAGGTAAATGGCCACGATGTTACCAGTGTGGCAGATGACGTTGCCATGACTATTCTCAGGTCATCTCCAAGGAGACTGAGTATGACAATAGGGAGAGCAGTGAGCAACCTGGTGGCTCCACCCTCTTGTGACAGCCTGCCTGATATTGTCCTACACAAGACACCTTCAGGACAGCTGGGTGGGACTTTATATAAACTTCGACTTACGGCATAGAAGCACATCAGTCATATATTATTTGAATTATTCTCTGTGCGTGCCCTTTCCAGGAATAAAGCTGACAGGTGGCATTGGTAGTAAATGGCAGGGCATCTACTGTCTGGAGGTGGTGCCAGGTTCCCCTGCCAGCGAGGAGGGTAGTGTCCAACCCAATGACAAGATCCTGTACATCTGTGGAAGGTGCACGCTGGGAATGACACTAGAGGATGCAGTCAAAGCTTGTGAGATCGCTCCACGTAAAGTGAAACTAAAAGTCATCAGGTATTAATGGTTCGAGAGATAATGTTTTTAGTGTTTGCCTCTCTTTCTTTGAATGAGTCTGTTCTTGTGTCTGTTACAGGGAAGAGCAGCCAGTGACCCCCAGGGGTAAGTGGAACGGTAAGTGCTTCCAAAGAATTTATGGCATGACTTCACTTGATCGGGACTCCAAGGACAGCTAAACAGGATAGTTTGGTTTCTATGCAGTATATGCAATGATGCATTGCTTAGAAACCAAATATGTTTGCGCTCAACAATGATAATTTAGGTTCAATCATTACCAGAAAACCTTAAAATTCTGGGAAGCAAAACAATTACTTGTGTGTAATGCAAAGGTATTTTTTAGTGTTTGATCTCTTTGTTTTCTTCGACAGGTCTGTTTGACTGGAAAAAGGACAGGAAGTCCTTTGCTCGTTTTGAAGAGCCAGTATCCCCAGAGAAAGACTCTCCTACTGAAGATGGTGAGTTTTTTCCTTTCTCGCATTCATTTATTTCTCTTTTTGCTTCTTCCAAACTCTTTTCATCATCAGCACAGTAACTAGTTACCATTCATCCCTTTGACGGCTGTCCCATTGTCAGGGTGAAGCATGAGCTTGGTGCTGACAGATAGCTCTCTTTGCAGCTGTGTGTGCGTTTACATGTGTGTGATCTGAATGCTGACAGACAGATCCTGGGCTCTCACAGCAGGATTAATAATTAGCGAGCCTCTGGCCCTCCACTGGCGTATTGGACTGCAAGGCCAAAGGCGTCGCACACACATGCACACAGAGTCAGAACCATACAGCCAGTGGTCTATAGGGCAGGTATCTCAGTTGCCTGGTGACGGTGTATAAAGTGGAGAGGGTCAGTCTGAAAAGATCAGCTTTGTTTTGCTGTCATAGAAGAAATACACCGCTCAACACTTCTCTTTCAAAATGTCCGAAGAGGTGGGAGGTTGGTGTGTGTTGCTGTTTTTTCTCCAAGTGTCTGGTTTTGAAATTTATTTTGATGCAGAAGGTGGCATGGATGCAAATCGGTAGAGAAGGAAAGTTCCACTGCTGGTTTAGAGCCAAACTCCAGGAGTTCCCTTTGTTAAACTTGCTTGATGTTTTCTAAGAGCATAATAATATACATGTTAACTCTTTTTTTTGTCTGAATGGGCTTTTTTTTCAGCTGAAGCTGTGTATCAGACTGCTGGACAATTCAGATGTCTCTCTCTCGGCCAAGAACAGGATGTAAGTTTACTAAGAAATGTATTTTCTGTCCACTAGCCTGGTCTTTTCTCCTGTACACCTTCTGCTTTGCTTAAACAATTGTCCGTCTAAGGGGACACTGTAACATGAGTTTGCTGAGTGTCAATCTGTTAATGTATTCTCTATCTGTGTGTTTGACAAGCATTCTTTACTCTTCATTTATGTACACGACACAGTGGCAATTTATTAATGTAGAATACAATCTGGCCTTGTAAATACACAGCTATAAAACTGATAAGAGAATCTGTTTCCTTATTTCTCAATTCTTGTCTTCTTAGAATTGCATCATGCAAGTGGAGTTCACTAAACCAGAAGGAGGAGGTCTCGGTTTTGCATTGGTCGGGGGAACAAATGGCAGCATGCTCAGGGTGAGAGAAATTTGCTCAGGTGGAGTAGCTGAGCAGGACGGTCGCCTGAGAGTGGGAGATATTCTGTTAGAGGTAACAACACAACGTATGTAATGCAAATAATTTTTTTTTACCTCCATAGTCGGGGGGAGGCTTTGATTTTCTTTGTGCCCATGCTAGGTGAATGGTGTGATTGTGTCTGGACTGAGCCACAGTAAGGTGGTGGAAATCCTGCGCAAAGCTGAAGGGACTGTGCAGCTCACCATCTGCAGAGACGTCCTGCCCCTGACCTACTCCGAGTCACCTACACCGCCCAACATGTCAGCTCAAACTGAAGCTATTTTAGCTGAGCAGCCTGCTCTTGTGTCCAACCCTGATAATTGCTCTTCACCTGACCTCATGCTGAACAGGCCAGTGGACCGTCCCCCTGGTATGCTCTCTGACAAATACATTTCCTAAGCTGCGCTAAATGTTATGGTAAAAGATGTAAAAATCCATATTTTGTGTCTAATTAGGCATAACTAGAATTAGAAATAGTATGTTTATAGTGCCTTACATATACATTAAGATCGCTTTGAAAACCAGATTTAGTGCCGTAAGATATACTCACAAATTGTCTCTGACTTTCACCTTACTACTGGATCATTCGTTGGTCATTAGAAGAAATCTAAAGCATAGTGGATCACATGTTCAGTCATCCCTTAAAATCTTGATGGTGTCCAGACTTTTACAACGTGTAGGTGGTACTTTGTTGACAGTCTACTCTCACACGTTTTTAAAAATATCATGCCACTTTCCAATCCCCTAATACCAGGCTACGATAGCTACTATGCTGTCATTACAACTCTATATTGAGACATAAAGTCAAATCCCTCGTTAACTCCTATTATTAGAGGCTCACACTTTCTTAGAGGGTTATTGGCAACACATTACAGCACAACTGTAGTGTCAAATAAGCTCATGCAAAGTCTTGAATAATGCCTAATGAAGGTATGGCTTGTAAAATTTGCCTAATAAAAACATTATTTCTAGCTCTGTGTAATTTGATACAAATACAGCCTCTTATGTCTTATTAGTTTACTCTAAAATAAAGTGTGGCCCCTTCTTATTATTAGGATTTGTAGAAAGCAGATGTTTAAAACAAGCTGTAGACTCAGAGAGATTTGTAATATTTCATTAACAGAAAACGTGATTATTTTAATCTTGTTATTTGTTGACATTTTGTCTACATTTGCTGTTTTAGAGGCAACGTCAGACCCTGTGGTTAATGAAGCAGATGTTGTTCTAACATCGCCCCCTCCCTCACCTCACCTACTGACAGTTGTAACCGATGAGACTACAGGTAAACAGGTAATGTGGACACTAACAAGCATACAGAAGTGTGCAAAAGTCTTGAGCAACTTCTCATTTCTTTAAACTTTGCTTCAAAGTTATCAGACTTTCTTGTAATTCTTAAAGTGGTCTTGAGCAATCGTTCTCCAGCTTTCTGAAGGCCTATCAGAGATTTCTTTGGACATTGGCTGCTTTTTTACTCATTTTCGCTCCAGTCCCTGTACCTGATCACGTTCAGCGGGATGTTTTTTGCATGTTAAGTCATTTAACCCTGACCTGTGAACCTTAAAAAGGTACCTAATCAAGGTTAACATGAGAGATACATCTCAGTTGATCTGTCTACTGTTTGCTGAAACTTGCCTAGAAATCGTCTTCAAGGAAGAATAAGTGTCACTTACCCATTCTTGAGGAAAGGGAACAGGGAGAAGAGTCAGAGCTTTGGAAAATTACACAAGAAGTGGACTGAAAATCCGTGGCAACAGGTCTTATGACATGATGAGTGCAAATTTGAACGTTTTGATTCAAAACTTTATCAGTGTGTACAAAGGAGGTCAGGAAAGAAGCACAGCAGAGGTTTACGGCCAACTGTAAAACGTGGTAAAGGTCCTGTCATTGTGGCTGCATTTCAGCTTTGGGGGTGTTGGGGGACGTACAATGCATTACCATTTAATACTACCTGGAAAGCGTCTGATTGGGAAAGGCTTTCTTTTTCAGCATGACCATTATCCCAAAAACAGAGAGAGTTCAGGCTGTGTTAAAGAATAAAAGTGGTGATACCAAATATTGACTTTCAAGCTCATTACAGTTGTACAAACTCTGTTTTTGTCTTGTATGCAGCATTTTCCATGTGTGGTTGCTCATGTTTCAATACCCGACTACACCTATTTCTCATTTTCCTAGTAAAATAAAAAGAAAAGACAGCCCAAGACTTTTGTACAGTACTGTATATAAACTAACTGCAACATTATTAACTATTAAAATTAAATCGTACCCTTCTTTACATCTTTACTAACATCTGCTGCTAACATCTTGCTCCTTCCCTCTGTTGCCTCCTCTGGCTTTTTGTCTGTGGAACAGGAGAGCTGTAACAGCACCCCTTCTCATCAAGCTTGCTGCCCATCCCTCAATGTCACTGACATGTTGCATGGAGCTTCTGACAGGTAGTACTACTCTCTTGTATTGTCTACATATTTCGTGTCCTCTTCTTCAACCCCCCTCCTCCTGCATCTTTGTATGCTGGAGTACCAGCATTATCCATAAGGAGGAAGCAAAGAGCAATAAATAAAAGATGACTGTGGGATAAACGTTGACGCTTGTAAACTGTGATCCCCATTAGAAGAAAATGTCAGTTAGTGTAACAGCTAGGAAGTGTATAGTACTATTCCATGCAGGCTTAAAAAAAGAAAGGTACAGCAGTAGTAAAAATATATTTTAGCCTTTTGTTTATACTGTATTTTAGGTGGAAAAGGCGCAGGGAAAGGAAGCTCAGCCTTGCATGATTTCATCCCCTCCTACCGAAGACTAAAAATGGTCTGGTCTCACCCCTGCCCTGCCCCCTGACTCCCCCAGGAAACAAATTGTGAGCAAACTTTTGGACCACTCCTGCAAAGACATCCGGAAACCCCAGTCAGACGGCTGGAGCAGTGAAGATGATGACGACGATGTATTCAGCACCAAAGGTCAGGAAATGGCCTCATCCCAAACAGGTGCCTGTTTCTGTAGTACTGTAATGACAAGTCTGAGTTAAAATAGATAAATGTTTGCATTAAAGGGTTAAAGTGACCCTTTTCTCCACTTCTTTTAATCTATATTTTTCTCAGGCCCTCCCATAGTATCAGAGGAGGAACTGGCCAGTCTAGCTCTTATTACCCCTGCAAAGACCAGCCAGTACTCAGGCTCCAGAGTCAAAGCTCTCATCCAGATTCTCCAGCATCAACTGGACCAGCAGGAACTGGTCAAAGAGTTCATGGTTTGTGTGAACTACTGGATTCATAAAAAGGAAGTTATTATGTAACTTACTACAATATGGGTTCCACTGTGAAGCGGCAGACAAACATCCATGCTGTAGAAAATCAGCGTTTATTAAAATAAATAAAATGCATTATCTTAAGTTATTATGGTTATTATGTCCATGTTTATACTTAAGGCTCTGGAGCATCTGAAGCCTTCTGACAACTGCCTAGTGGGAAAAGCTCCTGAGAACAGAGACAAGAACCGCTACAGAGACATCCTACCCTGTAAGCTGAGTGTAAAAATTTTATGTTATTATTTATTCAAACCTTGCACTTTTTATGTTCCCTTTTTTAGGGGTTCCATCTTTCTCGTTGATGGTTTAAAGCTCGTAAAAATGGATACTCAGGGACTTGGCATTCCATTGTTTCATTGTCTCACTTTAAGCTGACTCTAAAAAAGAAGGGGGTGAAGATGTTTGTGTACAACAGTTAAGCAATTTAATTTACACAGAACAAATTATTTCTCAATAACTCACTGGTACCACACTTATAATTTTCTCTGAGTCTGCCAAGTATGTGATGTTGTAATTATCTAGGATTTATATTTTTAATAAATGAAGGAGTGTCAGGAACAAATAATATTACAAGCTGTGTTATCACCATGAATTCCAGAGGTTTGCTGTCTGATTTGTGAAAGAATTAATCACTACCTCATAAACTCACAGTGTCTTTGACTTCTAAGTCAGATGCACCGCTCGCTCATCACGTCTGGTTTCAAAACATCGAGATGCTGGTGATAAAAATGCTCAAGTCAAGGCTTCATTAACCACTGAGTGGCTGTGGCTCAAACTCAAAAACACACCGAGACTATTTTTGTGTGTTATTTTTGCTCTTTCTTCCTTTAGACGACAAAACTCGTGTTGTGGTTGGAGAGAATCAGGACTATATCAATGCCAGCTACATCCGCATGCAAGTTGGCGATGAAGAGTTCTTCTACATCTCCTGTCAGGGCCCTTTACCTTCTACTGTGCAAACCTTCTGGCAGATGATCTGGGAAAATAAATCCGATGTCGTTTCCATGATGACCCAGGAAGTAGAGCGGGGAAGGATTAAATGTCACAAATACTGGCCAGAGAAGCTGGGTGTGCCTTTGGATGTAGGCAGGTACCAGCTTCACCTCGAGAACCAACAGTACCTGGAATACTTCCACATCAAGATCATCCGTATGGTGGAGAGTGAGGTGAGAGAGGGGCACTTTCTTTTCTGACTTACTGTAAAAAATGAATAAATACAAGTTTTGTGCAAATTTTTGATGAATTGCCATTCCAGACTGCCGAAACACATTTTGTTCGACACCTGAAGTTCACACACTGGCCTGACCACGGTGTGCCGCACTCCTCCGAGCAGCTGGTTCGCTTCATCCGCTACCTGAGGGCGGTGCACCATAAAGGGCCTGTCACTGTGCACTGCAGCGCTGGCATCGGACGTACAGGAGTTCTTATTTGTACTGACATCATCCTTAGCCTCATCGAGAATGATTTGCCTGTGAGTGGAATCCACTTTGATGGGTTTTCATTGGCATTTAGTGGTTTTAGTCATGTGACTGGCACAGTTCTATCACATTCCGGAAAAATAAAAAACAATTATCGGATAGACTGCTGTGAAATTTTTCACATAGGTCAGCAGGGGCAGATCCTACTATAACTGGCTATTCTTAAACCACCGCTGTGCCAAAGTGCGACCCAGCAGCTCTAACATGGTTGCAGCCACTTCATTAATCACTGTTATTTGAAATAAAACATGCATGCATTTTCATCTGTACTTAACAGTTTTCTTTTTTTACCTTTAGATTAATGTAAGCAACATTGTGAAAGAGATGAGACTTCAGCGGCACGGGATGATTCAAACCAAGGTCAGTGCCAGCAGAAGGGTTAAAATTCAGGCTTTGGAATAGATGGTGAGCAAAATTAGACGTGTCCTTTGTCCCCCTTATTTCAGGAGCAATACCTTTTCTGCTACAAAGTCTGGTTGGAGGTTTTACAGGGGATTTTACAGCTTCACGGCAGCCAGTGGCAACCAGAAGACCCAAGAGACCACAAAGTAGTTTGAGAATGTTTCCACCATACCTGTAAGAAACAAGCTGTGAATGTTCGACCGCGTGCAGTCGCGCCCAGCAGAGCGATACGTTGATGATACAGTTTTCTTTGGCTTCCTTTAGTTTAGCTGGCTATAATATGCAATCTGTACTTCTCAGCTTTGCTACAATGATTTCAACTGACTTTGTCTGTGTATGTGTTCTTGGTGCTGTGATTATCTCACGTTATTTTAGATCACTGAGGTTGTTTTGCCTTTTCAGGTTTAGTGATTTGCCTTCTGTCTCAAACATTGTGTTTTTTTAAATCTAATCTTTTTTCTCCATGTTCTTTACATTTTTATGTTGCATGTTATTTTAAATCCGGTAATATTTACATCTTGGCAGTAATGTCATCAAAGTGCACAAGTGTAAGATCATCATACCAAAATTAGTGTCTGTTTCAAACCTCGATGACTAGCGTTTGATTCAAGGTTGTGTTATCATTTCATTTAAGTGCATTTGTACCCTGCAGAAAAGGGTATTAGCAAAAGAACATTATTGATTGTCTTTAATTAATCATCTAAGGGAATGAAAAGCATTAAGTGCCTTGGAAAGATACGCATCACTTGCTCCATACTGACCCCAGCCCACTTGTCTGAAGCGGTCAGGGACGGAGGACAAGAAACAGATTTGAGAGCAGCTGATAGTGGTTGGAGTGAACGAGCAGCTTTTGGTCTGTTTGTAAGGTGGACTTTGGTTAATTCAAACCAGAGGAACATTACATCTCAGCTTTTTGTTAAGTTGTAACTCTGAAACAGTGTGGTGTTCGCACACTGCCTTCCAGTCTTTTTTTTCTTTTTAATTTGTGTGCTCATTTTATACAATATCTATCACAAAGAACATTTTATTAAACATTATCACAACTTGCGCATCCCAAATACAGATAAAGAATGACCCCACATAACAAATTTTTGAAAATTCATAAATTTTCAATTCACTATTTTGCTAAAATTTGAACACTAAATATTCCCTTTTTTTTGTAAAATGTACAAAAATGATTTAGATGTAATTTAAATTATTAGTTGCTGGGCTATTACATGTAAGTTGTTACGTGATAGCATAGTTTCTCTGTATTCTTTGGCTATTTTAATACAAACTCAGCCAAAAATGCAAAAAATATTCCCAGGTTTACAAACTTTCCATTTTGCCACTTTAGATATTGTACAAAGCAACGGTCAAAGTCAAATCTAAAATGATTTCTAGCTGCTGGTTTGAACCTCAACCTTTGGATGTCACTGCTTGTGAGCTTTGTTCCTGTAGCTGCTAACAAACACACACCAGCTTTCTTATTGCATGCAGACTCTTACAGTACAGCCTGGAGTTTGACAAAATGACTTGAACATGATCAAAATGTGGAATGTAACAAAGCAATACTCCTGAGGAGGAGGGAAACTGAATGTCTGGATCGGTTACCCAGTTTTCCAAACTGTTTGGAGCATGTTGGTTAGACATATGCAGTACTGTACTTTTGCCATGTGGATGGCCATGCAGAGCCATCAGCCTCTGTACTGTGTATGAAACATCTTTTCACTCCACGCTGGTTGGTTGGTTGGTTTCCAACGATAGCTAACCCTCTGTTATGTGCAAGTTCGCGTTCTATTTGAAACTCGTTGATATATTTGAAAATGGTTATTCTTGAAAGAACAAAAGAAAAGCACATTTTGCATTCATCTGTGAAAATGCATCTTGTACAGTTAAGCAAGTGCTTATGCGTAGCATTGTGAAATATAATAACCTCTGATTGCACAACTGCTTATTTATGCTGAATTAATATCTTGTCACTGTACCAGCCACTATGTAACCAATAACTGAGAACAATGTAATACCTCTCTCTTTAATTAAAAGCTATTCTGAAGCTTGTTTGTGCGTTATACAACACATTTTACCCCTTGACTCCAAACACAACATAATTCAACTCGAATAACGGAACAAGGGCAGCAGATTGGGTTTTCCCTGATGGCACACACAGAACAGAGAGGCGGAGGCAACCCTAAATCTAACTTCACTGTGCCCCTTTTTCTACTTTTACTGCACGGTTTACTCCCTCTCGAGTTTTACTGCAGAGTAAATAAGCTGGTCTCACAGGGGTCTTTTGTGACAGCATGGAAATCCCTCGGAAAACGCTGCACACTCTGCGCACGTTTAAACCTGATGCTGGGGAAGCCACAGAGCAGATTTACTTGCTCGCCCTCTCTCCACTTTCTCAGCCGCTGCTCTTGTGTACGATATCTATACCAGATCCACTCACACACACACACACACACATACAATCCCCCAGTTACCCACCCCCATTCCTCCTATTTCTTTTCACTCCCCAGCTCAGGCCTTCTTATTGCTATGAGTTATAGCAAAAACACCAGCAACTCAATTCAGTGTGTGTCATTTTATTAAATAGTCAGTTTCAAATTCAAACCACAACACAAGGCAGGAATTACTGACAGGCTCAAGGACTCAACACTGCCATTAAAATAAAGCTGCTGGGTCCTACTGTCATTGTGAAAACAGATGAGTTCAAGAAAAAGGGCCAAGGATCAAAGTGGGATATATTTTATGGAACACTTCTTAAGAGTTTGACAATACAGACATTTCAAACTGGGAACAAAAATGGTAGTAAATTCTTAACAGAGGCAATGAGTCAGAAAATGTGTTTAAAAGGCATAAAAATTTGAAGAAAAGAGTAAATCTTGTGTTCTCACAGTGTAACATGGAAACATGCCGGTTCACCTGTGTAGCATTTTTTTTTAAATGGACATAAGTTATGTACTGCAGCACATATACACACACAGACACACTTAACCATCCTCCTTTAAAGCTTCGCTGTCGCCTCATATTTCACCTCTGTGTATCTCTTCACACATTACATGGGGTGAAAACCTTAAATCAAGGCATTTAATGGATGATGCATCACTTTAAGTAATATGATTTTTTTTTTAAATCTAATAAACAATTTACACACAAACATAGATTAAATAGAAGTGTAAAGTCATAATTTTTACTATAAATGATGTAGATGTCCACTGGATTTTTTTAAGTGTTTGTTTAGATTCAGAGCTCAGCTCACAAAGAACTCGAACTTTTTTTTGCTCAGAAACATTTAAATACACCACATGTGGTCTCTTAAAAGAATGAATGCATTTTTACAAAAAACAAAAGATCTTACTTGGAAAATGCAGTATTACTTCTATAGCACCTTTCTACTCAAGTTGAACACTCAAAGCACCTCCTACTGCAGGTGTCATTCCTACAGTGCTTTTATCTCTGCCCAAGTGCATTTTCCTAACATTCACACTCTGATAGCTGTGCCAGGGAAATAACTGGGGTTCTTATCTTGACCAGGGATACTTTGACACAAGGATAGAAGGAGCCAGGGGATCAGTCCACTGACCCTCTGCCCACTCCACCACCTGAGCCGCAGCCACAAATCAGGGAACTTGTTGTAAACACTGAGGTGAAGAAATGAGGTGTGTTACAGTATTGCAGAAGAAAATCATCAGAGTGTAACTATCCCTGATTGCTAGACCAGAACAAATGATATGAAAGTTTCAGCTTTCACAGTGTCCCTAAAACAGGAATAACACTCACCGTGTCCTGTCCTGAAATTCAAGAACACTAGATGGATATTTTTGCATGATATGGAAAAAATAATCTTGCATGGTTTTGCATATTCACCTTATCTCTTTTCCTGAGTAGCTTGAGTCAAGACACAATGGTTGAATGTGGTTCTGGAAGACTTAATGACATCCTTGTGTATGCTGGAAGGAAGAATAACTGATAACAAACAAGCACTGAGCAAAAATGAGAGGAAAAAAATATTGTATTGTCTTTGATGTTATGGAGTAACATGATGACTGACACGCACCACCAATTTATCAATGATGATAACAGACGAATAATAAACCTATTTGACACATTATCTTTAAACTGTTCATGTTGTATGGTATTGTACTGTAGTTCAGTTAGCCTTCTGTCTTCTGAATGCTAGTTGTTGTGTTGTGCTGCCCTGATTGATGCAGCAAATTTCATTGTACTGCCTCTGCTCTGAATAATGAAAACATACTGAATCTAACTGGTTGAAAACAGCTGCCCTTTGAACCCAAGAAGAATGCTCTGCAAGTGATAAGTGACCTAACACCGGCACTTGTCATCAAAAAGATGCCACAAAGAGTTGCAGAGCTGAAAGGACCGGGCAGTCGTTACTATAATGATATAAAAAATTCAGGTTACATCTGCGGCCATCCCTGACACTTCCTCTCTGACTGTCACTTTTACTTGTTTCTGTTGAATAGCCATGTGCTGAGTGAGAGCATTGAAAAGAAAACGAATGTTTATCTATGTGTGTGCTACAGCAGATGACTCATTGTCATCAATGCAGTGAAACAACCTAATATGCTTTCCCACATTACAGATATCAGCTGTCACATGCTACCATCACAGAAGAAATCTGAGCTCTTTCTGGACTTCAAAACCTGGCATTTAATTCATTTTCAGGCTAAATAAATGCGCACTAATGTGATTTTCTGATTTGTTGTTGACCATGCCCTTTTGCTAGTCGACCCCATAGGCTCCACTGTGATGACGGCCCACTGACAGAGACACAGAGAGCCATTCATCCGCTCTCGGAGCAGATTGTCACTTTTGTGGCTTTCAAGATTTTCAAAAACCACAGACTTGTCAAAGGAAGATGATTATGATTAAGGGACCCCTTTTAAGTTGGTTAGGTAATGGGTAAGCTGGGCTCGTCATTAGGTTTTCTGTTTTGACTTGCAAGTGGGGTCTATAATTACACCCTATGGTGCTTTGTGCAAATGATCTAATTCACTGAGGAATCCAGTAAATTTGTTTCATTTCCTGCTCCGTTCTATTGTGCCTGTTAAATGTGAAAACAACAAACATACAACAAAAGACAAACTAAATACAATTACAGCTTGGTCTCCGTTTTCTTGTGGTTCATGTGCCCAGTTAATAAAATGAGCAGGGAATTTCCTAACAGCTTTACAGAATGTATTTCTTTTGAGAAAAATGACACATCTAGTCAAGAAGACAACACAAAAGCATAGTTATAAAAGGCTTGAAGTTGTAAGACGCTGTTATAAGACTTACTGTAGAATGTACAGTTCTTTTATGTAGTGAAGAAAGGAAAGTTAGTCTCCAATATCACAAGGGCCACTGATCCATGTAAAATTGCTGGATAATTCTGGAATAAGGTCCAGGTGATTTGAATTTTAGGAAATGGGCACAGAGCATTGTGGAGTATTTTGTCTAAAATAAAGCATGAACAGTGTCTTTTTTTTAGCCACACAGCTACATTAGAAGCAAACCACAACATAGCCATAGCAGTCCTTATAGGCTAAAGGAGGTGAATAATTTTGCATTCTTGATGTTGGTTTGTATGCTCTGGAGCAGCAAGTCCCGAGTCCATCAACAGAGCTCAGCAAAGACCTTTTTCCACAACCATAATTTGCCGTAATTATCATGCGCCCTCTCCAAGCAGCCAGAGTAAACGAGCACCTGTCAGTGGACATAAACTTTGGTTTTGTTGATGAGCTTTACCAGAAGGAACAACGGTACATATGTGCCACAAGAAATTAAAAGTACATTACAATTTAGTGCAATTTTAGGGGGCTACTTGTGTAGCCAAAAATAAATGAATTTATAATCTACTAAATAAAGTTTGCAAATATTTGAATGGTCACATTTAAACGTCTTAGTCAGTGATAATGGGATATTTGGTTAAATGGCACAGGATATACTCCAAAAGCTGTTAAGTGTAGCAAAAAGGGCCCTTTGTGAACTGGATGGTCTGTGTCAATGAGTGGCAAGGACGATGTTCTCTTTGTCAAACTCCCTCCTAAATCACACGCCACATCAGAGCAAGGTTGATTAACACCTGCTTTCAATTAAGTGACTTTCTCATCAAGCTTTGGTTGGGAAAGAGCCTCATGCCTCGTCACGTCGAAGATGTTACTGAATTAGAAAGCTATTAAATCAGGGAAGCAGGCGCACGGCGATACGAGGGGCATCGTTTATCTTCATTTGAGTGGGCCCTCCACGATCGTCTCCACAGGGGCGGCTAATTGAAAAAGGGCTTCAGAAATGCGATTGTTAGCATCGATAATAATTTATTACTTTCAGCTTGTGGAGTCCTGGGAGTCATTTGTATTCATTAGTGTAAATTCAAATTATGTTTGCGATTAAAATGTGACTTTGACAGGCAGAGGGGGCTCAGACAGGGACAGGCACTGATGAGACCTCTGCTTCGGGTCACTGCTTCCCACATTCGCCGCTTGCTAAATACGCAGCAGAGGAGCCTTTTTTGCCTCACCACCATCAATCTGTGTCTGATTCGAGTTGAGACGTTAGCGGTGATGGCCTCTCCTAAGCCTGTGTTTATGCTCTGAGCGCACTTTCCAGGCAAATTAACCTAGCTTCTGAAATATAACACCAATCACACGCAAACAATGCAGCTACCCACTAAAAAGTCATTCTTTTCTCTTTTCTGCCAGTAGTCGTTATCAGAGGGTGTGCAGGCTATTATTTGTCCTTCCTGGCTAATACTGACCAAGCTTTCCTCCAAATGTCAAGCAGTGATTTCTTTGACATTCAAGAGGAGATGGCAGTTAAGTAGGTCAGTGTCACTGTGATGAACATCAACTATGGCGGGTCACTGAATGGGCTGCTCCTCCACTTGCCCGCCTGTCACAAACCACTGAGCCAAAAGAGGCAAAAGAGCTGAGTGCTCCTTTATTGAAGCCCAGTAAATTACTTCAGCAAAGGCTGTCAGCGTGTAAAGTGGGGAACTTTATCAGATGTATCATGCCAAAGGTCATATTTTAGTGACCTGACAGGTCTCTGGTG